CAGCAGGAAAGCTGACGTTTCGGGTCTGGACCTTTCTTCAGAAATGGGGGTGGGGAAGGGGATTCTGAAATAAGTAAAGAGGAGGAGGCGGATGGAAGATGGATAAAGGAGCAGATAGGTGGAGAGGAGAGATGGACCGGTCAAGGAGGTGGTGATGGAGCCAGTAAAGGTGAGTGTAGGTAGGGAGTTAGGATGGGGGTTGGTCAGTCAAGGGAAGATGGACAGGTCAAGGAGGCAGGTAGATGGGAGGTGGGAGGAAAAAAGGACAGGTCAAGGAGGCGGGGACGATCTGGGCTGGCTTTGGGATGAGGTCCGGGGCAGGGAGATTTTGGAGCTTGTGAAGTCCACATTGATACCATTGGGCTGCAGGGTTCCCAAGTGAAATATGAGGTGCTGTTCCTGCAAACTTCGGGTGGTATTGTTGTAGCACTGGAGGCGGCCCAGGATGGACATGTCGTCTAAGGAATGGGAGGGGGAGTTGAAGTGGTTTGTGACTGGGAGGTGCAGTTGTTTGTCATGAACAGAACATAGGTGTTCCACAAAGTGGTCTCCAAGCCTCAGCTTGGTTTCCCCGATGTAGAGGAGGCCACGTCGGGAACAGCGGATACAATATACCACATTAGCAGATGTGCAGGTGAAAATCTGTTTAATGTGGAAGGTTTTCTTGGGGTCTGGGGGGGGGGGGGGGGGGGAGGTGTAGGGGCAGGTGTAGGACTTCCTGCAGTTGCAGGAAAAGTGCCAGGGGTGGTGGGGCTGGTGGAGCAGACAAGGGAGTCATAGACAGAGTGGTCCCTCCGAAAGACAGATAAGAGTGGGGTGGGAAAAAGGTCCTTGGTAGTGGGGTCAGATTGCAGGTGGCGGAAGTGGTGGAGGATGATGCATTGAGTCTGGAGGTTGGTGGGGTGGTACGTGAGGATGAGAGGGATTCTGTTTTTGTTGTTATTACGGGGAGGTGGGTGTGAGGGATGAGTTGCCGGAGACGTGAGAGATGTGGTCGAGGGTGTTTTTGACCACTGTGGAAGGGATGTTGTGGTCCTTGAAAAACTAGAACATCTAGGATTTCCGGGAGTGGAATGCCTCATCTTGGGAGCAGATGCGGAGGCGAAGGTGAAGGAATTGGGAATAGCGGATGGCATTCTTGCAGGAAGGTGGGTGAGACAAGGTGTATTCTCAGTAGTTGTGGGAGTCGGTAGGCTTTAAATAGGTATTGGTTTCCAAGTGGTTGCCAGAGATGGAAACAGAGAGGTCCAGGAAGGAGAGAGAGGTATCAGAGATGGTCCGGGTGAACTTAAGGTTGAGGTGGAAGGTGTTAGTAAAGTGGATGAACTTTGTGCTCCTCGTGGTAGCACGAGGCAGTGCCGATACAGTCAGTCATCGATATAACAGAGGAAGAGCTGGGGGATGGGGCCAGTGTAGCTTTGGAAGAGGGACTGTTCCACGTATCCTACAAAGAGGCAGGCATAGCTTGGGCCCGTGCGGGTACCCATGGCCACCCCCTTTGTCTCTAGGAAGTGGGAGGAATTGAAGGAGAAGTTGTTA